ATTAAGTACTCTTAACTACCCTAAGAAGTTTACTTGCCTAGTTGCTCGGAGTTTTGCCTATAAACTTACTTATTTCTAGAGAAGGCTTAAAGTGCCAAATGCTAATTCAATCCTAAATCGCCGTCAGTCACGCATAACCGCGGTACTGTTGGCTGCGATAAGTAAAGATCTAAGCAGTCTTTTCATCTCCTTTGAGAGTGCGTTCCAGTGAGTAACGCAAGGCGCGCTCAGCTATGTTTTGAGTTTTTGTAAATTTTGATGACAAAAGTAAGATTTAATACCAAAAAAACGTTTTATTTTTGCTTACAATGCCGCTCGTCAAGGAGGTAAAAAAACCAGCGCACATGAGCATCTTCAAAAAAAAGGAAAAAGGAGAAGGCATTACAGTGCGTGTATGGGAAAAACTAGTTTTTGTTAACTTCTAATTTCTAGTCTTTTCTATACGATAGCAAATTGTGTTTATATATGAGAGCGATTTTCATTTTCAGTACTGCAAATTTACTCCTTAGAAATGAGCACACTGGGGTATAGACTATCTATCAATGAGAATGTGCGCTCTTTTATACACTTATACCTAGTCGAAATGGGAAAAGTTAAAATCCAAATTAGGTAAATGTATGCGCTTATTTCCAAATGCTTTCTTTTCTCTCAGTATAATAAATCCCAGGAGGAAACGTGAAGGCTTACATTGGACGGGGGTGCAATGACATGCGTAATAGGGCTGCCTTCCTTGGAACTTTGGGCTGGTGAGGAGTCGGTTTCGGTAACCTAGAATACGCGAATAAATTTCTTATACACACATTACGGGAGGATAATTTTTAACTCACTTCTTCGCCAGACGCGATGCCAGACTCCGGTCCACTCAACACTATATCGTTTTCCGTTTTCACGTTCAATTCGGAAAATTCGATATTGTTGTTATTGAAAAGGACCTTGGTTGGATTGTTCGCTTCTTCATCAATAGAAGTTGATGGAATCATCTACAAAATAGCAGCATTTTTGTTTCTTGTTTCCTTCTTCACCAATAATTGTCTCCTATCCTTCTTTGTTATGTCTGATATGTAGAAGATAAGTATAGTTTAAGAAACTAACACGAGTACCCTAAGCTCAGTTATTCATTGCAACTTGAAAACACAGGCTACCGG